TTGCCTAGTATTGTCAGGATGCGTGCCGGATCCACAGATGGTGGTGGCACCCATGCTGTCAATACTCTACGGCAGGGGATGTCCTTTAAGGATACAGCCGCCAGATCGCATCCTTGCCATAGGTCACGGAAGCCAGATACTGCGGTGACTAGGTAATCCTTAGATTCCTGGTTTTCGCAGCACATGACTTTCGCGCCTCTGTAAAGGGTGGCGCTGCCAAACTGCATCCTTCGTGGGTCACCCTCTCCCGTAAAGACAAGCTCCCTCAGTCGATCTTCGAATAGCAGCCATCGACTATCGCTGATTTTACCTTCCGGTTCAGCCCTGTCAATGATTGCTACTCGGAGATTATCCGGGTAGATCGTCTGGGAGTACTTCCTCCTTCGTCCTGCTTGGCCTGCCGTTTGTGACTTGACCTCTCCTTTGTGGGCCTTATCAGGCTTGGAGCTTGAAGGGCCTGTTGGGGGTGGATTGGTCACATGCGACTTGCTGACAGACGGAGTGGAAGTTGTAGGTAAAGGCCGAGAAGCCGGAGCCTTAGATACCTTCTTGGCCTCAGGGTGTGGTTCCTCCGTAGACCGGCCCCTCTTCAACGCCGAGCGTGAAGGGGTGTCGGCCTCCGTTGGAACTGCCGAGGCTGCAGCTATCACAGGTTCCGGCTTCTTTACCTTCCTGTCCCTGCATTTTGGGGTAGATGACCCAGCAGGTCCAGCATTAGGTGTCACCGCGTGGACAACAGCCGGAGTGGCCTTGCTGTCGGTGGTGGACTTGCTGACCTCTGCAGGGTTCTCAACAGTGGGTTGAACTATGGAAGAGTTTGCCCTACTGTTGATGTTAGGTGGTGGGAGAGTTAGGAGTATCTGATTAAGAGAACAACTTGGTAAGTGCGGGTGGTTCTTCTCAAACTTTGCAATTACCTTGAGGTTCATCTTGATCAGAATCCTCTCTCTCTCTCCGTTACGTGCGCGGGGTCTTGGCCAATAAATTTTTTGCAATAATTTATTGACCTTTTATAACCCCGCTTTGCTTTCGCCTCCTTCGGTTCGACACCATCGTGAGAGGTAGGGTTACTGGTAGATTTCCTGCCAGTACCTACAAGGTTGGTATCTTGCCGATCGAGGCTTTTAACATCGGAGGTTACCGACGATGAACCCTCCTGGATTTGGGACTCCACGCAAGTCTCGTTAGGAGTGTTCTTAGCGGTCTTTTGTAATGACTCACCACTTTGAGACGAGGAAATGACCGTTATGTCAAGTTCCTCATCAGAGAGTGGTGAGTCGTTACTAAAGCCCGAAGAAACACTTTCCTGGCTGAGTCTTAACGTTTTCGTCTTTTCCAGGAGGGCAGACAACTGTTCGTTTTGTTGCTGAATACTGTCGTGGATTACGTCACTGTAATTCAGTATTGAGTCGTCCCCTCCCGAGTTGGTATTCATGTCCTGTGGCCGGTCCTTGGTCGTTGCTTCCTTGGAAGCAATGGTGTCGTTGGTGGTTGTTGGGGGTTTGTTTTGTTTTTTTTTATTGTTTTATTATCTTTCTCCATATGAAAAGTCGGACTTGGAGGAGACGAGGTCCACCATGGCATAGCCTCCCTACCATGGCAAGGACTTGGCAACTAAGCCTGTTACTCACTGAGGCGCCCAGGTATCAGTGAGGCAACCGTACGAATACAGTCGGAACCCTGACTGCAAACCTAGGAACACTGATGGGCACGGTTTACATAACACCCCAGCGTTAGGGGGTCTTATTTATCGGTAGACCAACACCGATCACTGGGTATTTTGAGGCGCCAGTTGTTCGCCTCGTCGTAACCAGGGATCATGGGCACTCGGATATTTGTTCCGAGACTCTCCCCCCGGTGACCGCTGAGTTGTCCGCGACTGCTTATTTATTCGCAGCTGCCCAATATATCTATTGGGCGTCCCACTATCCGCAACCTGTGGACGCGTCCGGTAGCATCCAGCTATGCTTCCGATGATCGGCCGGATAGGGAGGTAGCAATATATGGGGGCTATCCGAAAACCTGGCCCTGCATAAGAACAATGTTTTTAAAATCATTGAAATACCGAATATTTGGGATGTACCGGTATATGGGAGCTATACGAAGCCATGGGCCTATGTAGTACCCATTACGACCTTCAAATTCAAAATTTAAAACAATTCCAGTAAATAGAGCGACACCAATCATAAAAATACCGAATATTTCAAGGTACAGTTACGTGGGAACTATACACAAGCTTAAACCTTTATCGACAGTTCTCTGCAAGGATGTTTCTTACATACTGCCACACAAACTGCTAGTTTACAGCAAATTCGGTTTTTAAAGTGTGACTAAAACGTCCAAACACCTTAAATCTGACGGTTAGTTATGTGGGGGCTATACCAAAACGTGGACCAAAGGTAAAATACATTTGAGCTACGTTTTATTATCCTTCTTCATTTCGTTCGGAAGCTAGAGTTATTTCTACAGATGGGCGTTCATGGCTAAAACGTCATCAAATTTTATGCTGATCAAGAGTATATATACTTTGTAGGGTCTAAAATGGATGGTCTAGGTGTTAAAAATGGAATGACAAACTTCTATGGTGGAGGCTATAGAAACATCTGGTGTTATACTACTAATGATCAACATTGTTGATTATACCCCCGGGCTACAGAGGGTATATATAATTTGATACGGCCAAAACGTGCCTCATCGAAATAACGGGTTTAAACAGTAGGTCTCTTTGGACCAAATCCGTTTCAGGACATTTGAAGTCGATGTCCGTCCGTCTGTCTGTCTGCTGGCTGGTGTGAACGATAACCCTCGAAGGAAGTATCCGATTTGGTCCGAACTTTGTGCATCTTAATATTATTATCAAATTTAGATCGAGTTCGGAGATGGGCAATATAGGTCCACTCCTTCTGGTACATCCCCCACAAAAAGTCGAAATTTTCAAAAATAAAAAGTAATATTTTACTGCACAGAAAGAGAAACGATAATTCGATTTTGCTCTAACTTTGCAAATCCTTATATTTCCATCAGTGCGAAAATGGACAATAGCGAAAATGGACAATAGCGATCCGCTCCATCCAAATTCAAAATTTTGAATAACAAAAACGATTATAAAATCCGAAATAAGCATCCGTTTCTCTTCATATTTCACACATTCCATTATTTCTATTAACACAATATCTATTGTGAAGAAAGGATATATCGGTACACACCTTCTGATACGTCCCCCACAAAGGATCAGCATTTTGAATATCCATGAAGCTCATAAAATACGCGAAATTAACATCCGATTCCATTCTGACTTGGTACATCTCAATATTTCCATTGACACAAGATCTGTTATAAAGATGGTAGAGATCGGATCATTCCTTCTGGTACCTCCCCCACATTGGTTTCATAAAACGATTAAGCATCTAACTCTCTTCAAATTTCACACATACAAACATTTTTGCTAACACAAAGTCTGTTTTGCAAATGAAACATATCTGCGAACCCCCCTTCTGGTATCTCACCGACAAAAAGATCACAATTTTCAATACTTTTATGTCATAACTGAAGGTAGTAACCAATAAAGTCGAAACCTTGCACGTCGCAATATTTATATTATATTTATTTAGGACCGATACGAAGTGGATAATATTGACCCATTCCTTGTGAACCTACTTCATAGAGGGTCAACAATTTGAATGATCTTATGTGGCGTTTCCACTGCACTTGATTCGCTCTCTATTCGTTGTTTGACCCTTAACTATGAAAAAACTACATTATTCTTCACACAAAATTTCCTGAGCGAACACTCATATTTGTACGTTGTTCAAATCAAATCACTCTCAGAACAACGAAAAAATATGTCCCATCCCTAACAAATGAGAGCATTTATTAAAAATTATTTTTATATTTATTATTAAAAATTATAAATAGAAAAATTTAATGAAATTTTAAAAATTTTTGGGAAGACTGAAAATTATGAATGAAAACTACAATTTTGAATGGCGTATGTACATTCAAACGAAAGTACATTTTGTTTTCTCTCTCATTCGAGGTACGCATTTTATCCACGAGTTGAAATTTCCACAGAAAACTGCAAACAAAAGAGGCAATATTTTCAAAAACTTTGTATCGGCAGAAAAAATGTTTGACAAGTGTCTCTCCAGCAAAATTTAAAAATAGAAAAATACAAAAATATGTTCAAAATGTCAACATTTACACAAAAAGTTGAAAACGTGAATGAAAATTATAAAATTAATGATATAATAAATCTTTGGGAGAAAAACAATAATTTCTTCTACTCATATTAGTGAGAATTTAATGTATTTTAGTTTAATTTCCCATTAAAATCAACAAACAAAATTTTTGAAAAAAGGAATTATTTTACTATGAATTACGAATCGTGCCGTATGAACGGGTTAATTCGTGTACCTAATTCTGAGAGCGAACAACGTTGTTCGGTTTTCAATGGAAACATGCTATAACATATATCAAAATATATTTAAATAATCAAACATTGGCTGAGGGTATACATCTTGTATAAATCTTATTTTTGAAAATTTTTAACATTTTCATTACCACAACTGTACGGGGAAAATTATCATTTGATAACTAACGTTTCTAGACAACATGTCTCCTTCCTTTAAGTCACTTGGAGCCGATCCAGGAATGTGTGACAATTTATCTACCTGGTTGATACCACCCAAAGTTATGAATACGGCTATACTGATTCCTGTCATTTAAAGGGGAGAGGAGACTTTATGGTGCTCTTTTAGCTTTACAATGGCTGGCTTCATCATAGAGGAACAAAGAAGTTTTAAGTTGACTTAGTTCCATTTTGGCCTACCCTCCTTTGTTATTTTCCAAAGAAGCCAGCCGATGACTTAAGACAGTCAAAAAAGCGTTTTATGTATTCTCATCTTTAAAGTTATTACAATAGGCTGGCCTAGTAATAAATTTGTAATAAACCTCAATCACAGAGTTCCAAACAAAAATAAGAATTAATAAAAGAAAAACAATTTTAAAATGCTTACAATTGTATTTTGTATTTTCTTTTGTAAACTTCAAAATATATAAGTTATATTTAAAAAACGGTGGTAAAAATTGTATTTTAAGTAAAAATGTGTTGTTGTAAAAAAATGATTTAATTTTATATGATGAATTATTGCGAAAATGAAAACAATTTAAATATTGTTAAATTTCTCATTTTTTTCGTTTTTCGTTTTTGAGTATTCTTAAGAGACAAAACAATTTGTATTTTGTTTTGATTTCATTTGAGTTTTTTGTTTCTTTTCTGAAAGGCACACAGAGATTTACACAATTTGTTGAGGCGGCTTATCTTAACGTACTTTTTCTGCGAAAAGTATACAAAAAATATATACCTCTATTGAAATATGTAGTTGTAAATATAAAGCATTTTCTTTTAAACAAATATATATCGTAAAAAATAGTTTTTTGTAAATAAAATAAGAAATAATTTTTTGTGGTGTACGGAAGACGTAAGATCGTATATAAAAAAATAGAGATTCATTATGTATGTATGAATATGTAATGTGTGTATGAATATGTATGTATATATATGCGTATATGGGCTTCTTGATCTTCTTGTATATAATTATGTTTTTTATGATGGATGCTCCTTATACTATGCAGTTTGTTTTTGTTTATAAATTAAGGTAATACGAATTTTGTTTTCAAATCAATTTGAAGCATAGATCTTCCTCGAAAAGCGAAGTAAGCGATGAGTTCATGTCATTTATGACCATATTATTGGTGGGATAAGTACAGCTTGTAATGTTGGTTTGGCTCGTGACCATGGGTACGGCGGGGGCGATGGTTGCTCCGGCGGCGTTCGATGGATTATTGAAGTCATCACAATATAGTGCCGCCTCGTTGGGACCCTCTTTAGTGTTGTTGCTGCTGCTGTTGCCGGTCGATTTCAACCAACTCTGGCAATTTTGAACATATTCCAAGGTACGTTGATAAGATTCAGTCATTACGGATCCACTGGAACCATTGTTATTATTATTCGAATATGAAGGGGTGGTATTGCTCTCATTGAAGGTAGTTGAAGAAATACTGGTGTATTGATTGTAGGCGGCATTTGTAGTGCCCCCCGGATGATTGCTGTTGCCAACTATTGCAGGTGACATTTGTGATTGGGAAATATCATTACATTGGATTTCGTGTGGCACTCCAGTTGCAGCAGCAGCCGCTTGGTTGTTAGCTGCAGCTTCCACACCAGTTGTACTCAAACGCCAATCGACTAAACTTGTCATGGAACTATCCACTGGATCAACATTAGTTGATGGATGTACTTGAGACGGCGCCGGGGTAGCAGTCGCAGCAGCACCACAATTACTTTGGGCTGGCAACTGGCCAGAACAGCTATTCCGCTTGGCCTGATTCATATTATTCATCTGATGATACTGGTGATAGTAGTTATTGGCACAATCGTAGTATTGGGGATAACGCATATAGTGGTCATACGAATAGATATCGTAATTATTGCTGCGCTGGTTTGTGGTTGTTGTCGTCGCCGATGCATGCGATGGTGGGGGGTTGGGTGGTGGTGGCATCATTGCACTACTTTGCATTTGCTGCATAAAACGATTCTGCTGATTGCCATTGGAATTGTAACCTTCAGCAGTCTCAGTGTTATTACGTCGTTCCTGTTGCTGTTGCTGATGATATTGTTGTTGTTGCTGCTGCTGCTGTTGGCGATGATGATTGGCCACCTGATTTAGATATTGCAACATTTCGTCTGGTAGGACTAGTAATTTGTTTTCAATAAACTCATTTTCATCCACTTCGTTTAGGTTAATCTTCTCATTGGGATGATGATCCAAAGACACTTCCATCAATTCCTTTGCTTCCGCCGAACGAGATTTGTTAACCTGTTCAATGGCCTTGACCAACTGAGATGCCAATAGAGAATATGTAAATGTCGAGGGACAGGACATAATCAGCTTCAAGGGTTTACGATTCGACTCCGAGAAACGTCGATCCAACAGGCGATTCTTCTCCGGCAAACCCGAAGAAAAACGCAAAATATTCGGTATGGAGTAACGACCATTTTGACGCAATTGCCGTAAATAGGTGGAGGACAACAAGGAACACTGTAACTGATGCAAATGCTTTGAAATTAAGTGTGACGACGGTGGAGGTGGTATATTGCCACCTCTATCCCGGTTGAATACAAACGGATGACTGAGGTCATTGCGGAAATTACTGTTGCTGTTGATGCCCACATTGAGGACATCAACACTTTCCTGTATGGGATTCATGGGACCGGCATTCATGTTATACATTTGACTTGAACGCCTTGAACAACCCGGCGAAATGGGATCGTAAAGCGATCCGCCCGTATTAAATGAGGAATGTGGCCGCAGGGTAGACATAGAAGACTGATGCGAACACTGACTGCTGCGTCGACTATTCATGCTGCAATAATAACTGCTGGTATTGGAATTTTGACTATCCCTGCGTATGGTTGTGGCATCCAGTTCGGAGAATTGTTTCGCAGGCCCACATGGCCCACCAACATTGGTGGTTGTATCGTCGATATTTGTTTCCATTTTCAGTTCGGTAATACGTTGATTGAGTTCCCTCATGCCAATGCCCATGTTTGGTGAAATCATTGGCTTGGCCTGTAATCGCGGTCTTATACGCTGTGGTGAACTGTCGATGGCCAGTGGTGAGGGCCCACCACCGGTAACCATTGTCCTCAAGACAGGTGGCAATTCCGAAACGTCTACATTGTCGGCATACGTTGCCCAGTAGCTTTCATCGTTTGTCATAAAATCACTGTTGCTATTGCCATAATCATAGCCACCACCTACGCCCATGCCAGTGGACCAATCATTGTCACCATCTATCTCGGCCACAGCCGCTGTGCGCATCATGGGATTCTGGAATATACCACGTATATGGGCTTTGGGTGAAGCACTCAAACTGTATTCCTTCTTAATGCTTTGACTGGCCGATGAGCTGCCGTTGCCCTGGAAATATTCACGAATATTGCCATTCTTGTCGTTCGATTTGTCGTCGCCTCCACCACCGCCACCATCATTGAAACCTTTATGTCTTTTATTGGCATAAAACTCGGCACCATGTACACTCTTAACATGTTTCCTCAACGAACTGGGATCGGTGTAGCGTTTCAAACAGCCCGGAGCATTGCAGATGTATGGTTTCTGGAAAATAAAAACGAGAACAAAGAGAGAGAAAGAGAGTTAGACTGGGCACCATCCATAACAATTGCAGATCTTCTGTTTATTTGTGTCAAGATGTACTGAGTTATTTGCTCTGCAGCCATTGGCTTGTGGTTTCCATGCCAGCGAGCAAAACATTACTCTTGAGTGTACTTCTTCTTACCTCATTGCTATGTGTGCGGTTTTGATGTTTAGCTCGATCACTGGCATTGCTAAATGCTTTAGTGCAACCGGGATATTCGCAGGTGTACGGCTTTTCTCCAGTGTGTGATCTCAAGTGAGTTTTTAAATTTTCCAAACGTGAATAAGCCTTGCCGCAACCCTCAAACTAAAAGTTGATCAAAATTAAAAAAAATGGTAATAAGTGCAAAAATCTGTGTTCAATTAAATGGTTTCCAAACAAAAAAAAGACACCTACCGTACATTTGTGTGGCTTCTCACCGGTGTGGCGACGCATATGCACCACCAGCATATATTGGGCCTTAAATGGTTTTTCACCTCGGGAACAGTTTTCCCAACGGCATACAAATGTTTTCTTGTTATTTTGTATGTGGTGATTGTTAATGTGTCGCACCAAGTCTTCCAGGTTACCGAATTCGATTTCGCAATCTTTCCAATGGCAATTGGTTTCCTCGAAATCCAATGGTTCATCTTTAAGATCTGTTGTATCGGCACAATCATAGCCACCACCACCGCCGCCACTACTGCTACCGCCACCACCACCACCGCCACTCACGCTATGCGGTGTTACATTGGGCGATGGTTCGCTTGGAGGTTTACTCGTTTTGTTTTCATGGCATTGACCGGAAAATTTCGTATAACATTTTCTTGTCTTTTTGTTTTCCACAGCCGAAGCGCTGTCTGCCTCCTGTAGTGTTACATCACTGCATGATGAGGAAATTGGTTCCACAGCGTGTCGTGGTGGCTGCTCCTCAATGTGATGCTGCATTAAAGAAAAAAAAAGAAAAAAAGAGCAGAGATTTGAAATTAAATCAATCAACGGGAAATAAGTTGCACATTAATTAAATGTTTTCATTGTGGGAATAGGTTTATAATTTTAAAAATATAAGTAGATATACAGTTATTTTGATGGGTTTACCCTCAATTGTAAATCGACTTTTGAACAAAAACAAAAAACATTGTTAAGTCAATTATTTAATCTGTTGTAATAAGAAATTAGGTGAATTTAAATTGTCTTTTCTGAACGTTGGTACCTTTTCTTGATGATAACTATTTTGAAGTATACCAGGGTTCCTTGTGGTATAATCTGAATAAATTATATCTCAAATTCTCACTTTTCTCTCGACCTCAGAGTGTAATGACTTACAAAGCAAGACCGACATATTATGTGCCTAAGTCGGCATGACGCCTCGGGCTACCCGATTACCACCAAAACCAGAATTAAATAAATTGAAATTTGGTCATCCTACAATTTTTGATATTCTCAGTCTCGGAGCCCAACTCAAATTAAACTGTGACCACATACTTATTTCTGTTTGTGATTTTTGCAACGAGTATAAACGTTATCATGGATTTCGCAGGCCGAGGTCTCTGGGTGTTAAAAACGCACTGACTCAATCATAGAAGTAGGGGAAGAATTTAGAGAATATACTGACTACGCAGATAATCCGACATCCACCGATGAACAACGGTGAAAGAATCTAACTTCTGGCACCGGCCCACACGATGCGCTGCAACTTTTGAAAAGCCCTGGTAAACCTATAAAATTTTCCCCAAAGTAACTATCGATTTCATATAAACCAGTCACCTGCGTTTTATACCCTCCACCACAGTATGGAGGGTATATTAAGTTTGTCATTCCGTTTGTAACAACTCGGAATATAAATTTTAGACCCTACAAGTATATTTATTCCTGATCAGCATAAAATTCTATGTCGATTTTGCTAAGTCCGTCCGTCTGTGGGAATTACTCTAACTTCCGAACGATATGAAGTAGGTTGATAAAATTTTACTCAAATGTACATTATGTCTGCAGGACTTTTGGTATTGGTATTTGGTATTGAAAATGGACCATGTAGGTCCAAATTTGTTCCAAATTTAGTATTTGAAGTTTGTAATGGATACTACAGCCTATGACAAAAAAACTGTATGTGCAGGTTCACATCTTCTTATAGCCCCCATATAACGGCACCTCGCCATATTCGGTATTTTGATGATTTTAGCGACATTAATCACCGGATTTCTTTAACATTTGGTATTTGAAGTTCGTAATGGATAATGGATGGACAGCCTATGACAGAAGATTGTCTGCAGGTGCAGGTCCACATTTTGCTATAGCGCCCATATAATTGTACCTCCCTATATTCCGTATTTTGATAATGCAGGTCCACGTCGTCGTATAGGCCCTAATATTACGGCTACATTCGGTATTTTTAAGATTTTTTAACGGATTTTATTTTTTTGAAAATTGCCAAATTCGTTCCAAATGGTGGAGGGTATTCAAAGTTCGACCCGGCCGAACCTACAGGATTTTTACTTGTTTAATTTGGAGTTGGAAACAGAGAAGACTTAGAATGAACACAGCAATCTAGTTGTCCAGCTAATAAAGTTATGCAAATGTGGAAGAAGGGTTAAAAAGCACAGGTCCAGTAGTAAAAACATTTAAGGCACTACTGTTCTCAGGGGAAGAAGAAGCAGTTCCCACTACTGAATTATCCATACGTATAAATCGAGGATTCTCGACCTATCGTTCATGCTGGAAAGCCTAAAGTGTTGGTAAAAGGAAAGATATAGAAGCCAGAAAGATGTGTTTTGCTAGCCAGGGACGTTAGAGTTTTTATCTCTCACCTACCACATAACTTTTGTGTTTTCTTTGACATCTTGGGACATCTGAATAGTAGGTGTTCAATTGTCTCTACCTCTTTCTTATCTTCACATAGTCTAAAGTAGTCAGACCACTTTTTTCCCATTCAGAGCTAATATATTTGATACTGCAGAGTCCAGTCAGTATGGATACCACCATTCTTATCATCGGACCTGCTAAGCGATAACAGGGAGTTTGACTTCTTTTTGAAATTAACGGCAAGATGGCCTTAGATACGCTGCAGTCGGCCATCTTCTACCAGTTTCTTCGTTCGATGAGAGACTTTTCGAAACAGGTGATATAATAGCCTATCAGAGTTTTAACAGTCTAATCAATCGCTGGCCAATCGACAGGGACCCACCTCGGACCCTATGCTGTTATGTCCTGGAACCCAACAAAACTTAATGACCCTTCTAAGCCGTTGGACGTGTAGAAGTTCAAAGAAGTTCAAATGCAAACAAATTCCAATCAGTAACTACTCTAAAATTCTGCGTATCCTTCTTACGTCACTCTCGAAAGCTACCGCTTCTTGCAATAAAATAAAAAGTAGGAAAAGTGTCCTCAAGACGTTGGCCGGTAAGGACTTGTTAATGTATTAAAGGAACAGAGATTTCTTTTCAACCGGTTAATTAATTTAAATCTTTCTTGTTATACATGTTGGCATATGGGAAAGAACGAGGAGTTCTGCAAGAAGACTGTGTTTCAAATTTCTCTCCTAAATCATACCAAAGACAAATTGTCGGAAGACAGCCTCTGGCTAGGAAAAATGTAACGATGTTTGATGAGCAAACACTTCAATTCAATCATTGAAGAAAATATTGGAAATAGACCCATTCCTGACTAAAATTCAATACAATTGGCTTAAGCGTCCATAAAGTCATTAAGTATATCTCTAAATTGTTCAAGTGTTTAATTTAATATCATGAAAGGAAGTCATTGAAATAATTTCTTATAAGTGATGATATTTTTCTAAAGAAAATTATATAAGACATTTTTTTCTCGGAAAAAACGTCATCATCCATAATTAACCATTACAGCAAATTCCTTTTATGATCTGATTTAATATCTTATAGTCAGCTTTGGTTAAATATAATAATGTTTAATAAACCACATCGCAAGCTAAAATAAATGTCCCCAAAAAAATTCATTCACGTCTTAATTTACACATTTTCTTGAAACATCTTCGAATTGCTTAATTTGTGACCGCACAATCAAGGGTCCGCATACATCACGCAAGCAAAAGCGTGTACCTTTTTGTTGGGAAAAAAGGTTGGAAAGGTTTTGTAGCAAATATTACCCGCAAATGTTTCGAATGTTTGCTTCGGAAGCAATCGATTGGATTTCGATAAAAATAAAAGGGTACGTTGTCTACCTGAGTCTGTGTGATGCTAAAATGTCTTAATTTTCGAAGAAAACGCCCACATTTATACCGAAATTGAGAGGTTTGAGTTTAAGAAACAAATAAAAGGGCAGATGTATTTAAAATATTTTACATGAAGGAGCATTTAATAGGGAAAAGATTCTGACTAATTTACATTGAAAATGTAATATTTGAAACAAATTTGCTTAAAATAATGAAAATAAAAAACGACTACAGGCTAAAACAAGCCTAATTTGTGTGCAAACATTGATGAATCCGAATTCCTTATTTCTACGTACTACATAGATATGTTAAAACCAGGAAAATTGATTTCTAAAGAATACATTATGAAAAAATATGGACTCGCTGGTCATTGTATAAAACACCATGGCGTTGCAAATTTTTTAGAAACCCAATAAATTTGGCTTAAAGTGAATATAGTATAGCTTAAAAAATTGTGAGCTGTGGAATGTCCATTGTTTATGCTTATGAGTCTTTATCTATTTTAATATCCGAGGATACTATTGCATCTAAAATACTTACTTTAATGAGCCTATTAATGGGATTTGGATCACAAGGCATCCAAGAAGCACTTCAAGCGAGGCAATTTTCAGGGATAGGAAAGATATCTAGTTCTACGATGGCAAAAGCAACATTGTGGATGATGATGGGATCTACGTCTGAGAAGAACGTAAGAGTTCTATCTTCTACCTACCACATAACCTATTAATTTTACTTAACGGCGTGGCACATCTGCATGGTAGATGTTTAATCGTCTCATCCTAATCCTAATATACTCTACAGTAGTCGAAACCACCGTTTTCGCATCTATAGGTCAGATATCTGATACTGCAGTGGCCAGTCAATTTGCCGACAACGATTCTTAGATCGTCGTGTTGTTGCCCAGACGGCCCTAGATACCTTAGTTTCCAGTTGCCATCATCTGCCAGCATATACATATGGGGATTGCTTGTTACTGTCTTTTAACACTATCGTTAATCAGGTTAAGAATCAAATCAATATATTCTCCAAATCTTCGTTTCCGCTTCGTCCTGCTAGTGGTAGCAGACGATGCTGTATCGCTGTCCGAGTCCGATCTTATGGTAATTTTTCTTTAGTTGGAGGTAAATTTTGCACTTCTAGCTTTATTGACTGAGGGTGGAGTTTATTAAATTCTCTTCCATGTGTCATAGTCTTGTGAAGGAACTGATGTCGACCATGACATACCCTTCGTACAAGGGCAAGGACTCGGTAACTAAACCTAATATTTGTTGAGGCGCCTGGGTAGAAAATGCATTTCTTGTCGTCTCGGGTCGAGGATTGGTTCAAAGTATTATCCGTGGGTTCTTCTCACCAGACAAAGAAAAGTCATTCTATATTTGAATTGGAATAAAATCCTAAACAGTCTTATTAACGCGTTGTCCAGATTAAGAACATCATCACGTCAGAAAAACTAGAATAAGAGCCATTGTTCGTTTCGGAGGACATTGTCAAAGAAGAGGGTGTGAGGATGCCAAGGCGTCAGAATTGTTAAGAAAATGTAATTTTGAAAAGAAGAGAATAGAAGTAACGAGGCTTCACAGCAGCAGAAGAGTTATTTTCTTTTTGAGACGTTGAGACGATCTGGAATTAAGGAATACAATCGGTACTCTGAATATAAAAGAACAACATCTTTTCGTAGAATCCTAATAGAGTAAGAAATCAGCACCCGTGTCTGTTTAACTTAGAACATTGGAATATTGGAATCGAGAAAATAGATGAACTGTTTAGAAACTTAGAAGTAGTTTAGTAGGCACGAAGTATAAATTATTCTTGATTGCAAGGAAGTTTTCTTAGAGAGACATCAATCTCGAAAGCAACTATTCCATTTTCCCACTTAAAAAGCTAATACTAAGAATTGTAGTTGACATTTTAAAAGGCCACTCCAACATCATATTTCTGCCTTCTTAATACATCTACTTTGCAGACATTTCAGGTGGCCAGAAATGATTTTTGGGAGTGTTGTAAAAAGAATGACAAATTTTATATACATCTACCTTATCTTACAATTAAGGTGAACAACTTAATTAAATTCATAGGCTTGACGTTTTTTTTTTTTTCCTTAAAAACAAATAATATCCGAAATAGAATTAAAAATTTTCCCACTTACCACTTTTCCATTTGTTTCCTTTTCACTGAACTCTTCCTTGACGGGCGTTGTGGCGACAGGTGGAATATCTGTTTTGGGATTAATCATTTGCTTCTGATCCATGGGCAGCATATTGGGTGGAGCTACTTGGTGGGCCGATGATAGAGGATGTAGCAAACCGGCGCTAACCCTCAATAAGTGAGCTTGCAATTGTTGTAAATGAGGTGCCATGGCTGAGTGAATGGGACTAAAATTACTTGCCGATAAATGACCATAACATGCATTGGGCATATTCGGGCCAGGACAGGGGCCGCCCATGGCTGCTGCCAGGGAATTCGGTGAGAAACGAATCATTGAATTTATATCGAAGGCCTCGGAATACGGTGATGATGATAAGGCACGCTTGCGCGAAGCTATAAACGAATGGGAGTTAATACTCTTGTTCTTGAGGCCAAAGTTATAGCCATTGTTGGCTGCTGAGAGATTAACGGCTATCGCTGGATGTAGTTCACGAACCGAACCCATGTTGCAGGATCTTAAATAATCACTGGAATTCATACTTAGTCCGGCTATGTGAAAATGTTTTTGGGAAAATTTATCTATTATTTAAAGAGAAATACATTACAAAGGTCATGGCGCGAACAACACACACGTATCGCTACTTACCGTGCAGGGAAGCATTGGGACTTAAACACTGTAATGAGTATAAATGTTCAATGTAGCCGGGAATTCTATAGGCGGCCGGCATTTCATGGCACTGTACTGAGTTTTGCACTTTTGCATCAGATGTAATGGCTTGCTGTTTCATTTCCGGCGACGACGAGTCGCATCCATAGGATTTGGGTGGTTCGGCGTTGGGTGCAGCAGTTGTACTTGTAACAGCACTACTGTTCGGTGAATCGCGTCCGCCATGTTCGCGATTGCGGCTGGTGCTTGTAATGTGTAATGGCGGTGGCATGGCTCCAAAGCTTGGCTCGTTACCATTATTGCAACAGTTCATAACTGAATATAATGGCGAAAGAAATTGTGAGGCAGCGACAGCGGCCGCTCTTCTCGATGTTAAATGTTGCAAATCGGTGTACCTTTAATTGGTGGGAGAGGGGAATGCAAGTAAATAAAAAAGAAGGGTTATTTTTTAATATATTTGTTGGTTTTTTTTTCTTTTTTTTTTTTGTAAAATGTTCGGTTTTTGCATATGTTTAAAAAAAATAATTAAAAATATTTCAGTCGTGTATGAACCATTTTATGAACAGGAATCTTTCAAACGTGTTTTTTTCTGATTGTGTGTTCAAGTGTTTAAAAAAATTATATATACAAATTATTTTATGACTTAGAATTATTGTTTAGTTAGTTTTTTTATTTTAATATTATGTATATGTGTATTATGTTAGTACCAAAACTACAATAAGAATAAAATTATTTTGATACATTAATAATGCGTATATAAATGAAAACCTTTTTTCGCCACTTCCACGGTGTGAAAGTAACAGAAAATTTTTAAAAATTAATTTAATTTTCTGTAGCTATTCTCAAAACAATTTTCTAATTATGGCAAGGTTTCTACCAAAGTCAATTCAGATTTTTTTGGAAATATTTATAGAAATATGGGCTATCTAAAGTAAAGTTTTTTCTGCAAGATCCCACTAGGCATTGATTCACAAGTTATAAAACGTAATCATAGGCCACTGCGACAATGCCCAGTGAGTGGAGGAGTAATATTAAATTCTGCTATCTCTGTAAGCGGAAAATAGAAAAAATCATTAAATAATCCTATAAGATTGAAGACCCCCTAAACTTCTTTTTCTATCACTCATACATGACTAGTCTATCCATGACTATAGTCGCGATGGAATTCAACCACAAATGGCTATCGTTAGACACTCCAGCATTTAAATGTGAATAAATCTTTTGTGTCTCGTACCATCGCTCGTTACCGTGATACTGGTAGCGTAGCCCGACGTCAAGGAAGTGGACGGAAGAAAACAGCAACATCAGCAGAAATGACAGACATTCCAACAGGACTCAGCATCATCGCACTCAGCACGCGCCACGCAAGAATGGTTACAAAATTAAGTTAATCGCTTCATTTCCAATGGCCACTAAAATCTCCATCTCCGGATACCAATCCGTTGAACTGTCTGGAGTATTTTGGAAAGCAAGGTTGGCACTAAATTATATTAAAGTGTCGACCACATCAAGCAAGCGCTTCGCCCGGAATGGGCCAAAATACTGCAGAGCAACATTCGGGCAGCGTGTGACGGTTTAATTGGCCGTTTGAAGGCCTCAATTCGTGCCAAAGGTGAACAATTCGAACAAATATAAACTTATTCTAAAATGTGATGCTATTTCCGACATTTTTTGCTTTCATTCAATAAATTTAAAAAAAAATTATGGCCTTTGACTTGGTTGCAATTTTTTTTTACTTAACCCTGTAATGTCGCAAAAATCATGAAAATACCGAATATCGGGAGGTACCGTTACATGTGGGCTATACGAAGACGTAGACCAACATGACCCATTTACGAACTTATCTAAATTCGTTCGAAATATAGCGTAATCACAACAGACAGACGGAAGTTGCTAAATCGTCTTAGAATTTTACGCTGATGCAGAATATATACTTTGTAGGGTCTATCATGAATATTTCGAGGACTTACAAACGGAATGACAAAGCTAATATACCCTCCATAGCATGGTGGAGGGTATAAAACAACAGAGCTTGATTGACGAATATTAATTGCTGTGTCATTTACTCCGAATGGTTAAAGGAAACACTTCAGAAAGACGACACGAAAGCAAATTGGCCTTTCCTCTCCAAGAAAAGTAGGGTTTATACCCTCTCTCCACTCTTACGCAACCAGGCTTGTGGTAACCACTTGGTCCGTTTTTGTAATGTCCAATAATTGTAGTGTCCAACATTTGCCGGCTTTTCGAGGGCGGGGATGTGATCGAGTATTTACAGTGTCGGGAGAGATATGAAACCAAAATTCAAGCTACTTCTCCGATGAGGAACCATCAAAAATCCTTAAACTGACTATGACACTGAAATGAATAAGAATTCTATCTCAATTGACAACAAATGGACACTTCTAAAACTGTTTTCCCATCTAATCGTAAAATTGTCTGTACAAACTTTGCTCTTACAATCTTTGTTTATGTATTACTTTTAAAGTTCACTTCCCTGTAACGAACATAATAGATAGGACGGTCTTGGAGTGGAGTAACTGTCCCTCAACTTAACCCAATAATCGAATTTGATGCAACACTACCATTCGACTTCCATTTTTCCCTGAGTCTGAATTGTTGATGATGATATTCTCCGGCAAGAATGTAAAAATAATGGCATTGATGAACTTCTACATATTTTCATTTCTTTAATCAGGGTCTGGATTCTTGTTCTATGAAAAGAGGAAATGAAAAATAGTCTCTTTGTAAAATTTCTAATTTGGCATTTCCTTTTTTTAAAAAGCTTTAATTTCACATTGTCATGGAACTAGAATTGAAGGCCAAAAATGATTTATCCGCCCTCTTTAGATTTATATATAATCTCAAAAAAACTCTTCAAAATACAAAAATTCCTCTTGCTGCTATTCAAGCAATTTTAATTAATCTTTATTTAAAATCGCAATTATGGCGCCATCATATTTTAACAAAGTAACAAAATCTATCAGGGTTTGATCACTTTGTTAATGACTTCTTCGCAACAGGTTATTCGATAATACGTTTCTTTTTTTTTCCACTTCATCTGGGCGCTATCCAACACTGTTGGTGTTACAGTTAGTTGTTTTATATTGGTTCGATTTATGAACGTGTATATATTGAATAAAATTATCATAATTTTATATTAAATTTATGTTAATATTTATAACATAATTACGTTCGACCAGATTCATAATATCTCTATCAAGGGATGGCTTTGATTATTTGTTTTTCCGTGACTACAGATTTTATGCAAATGAATGAGAATGGGCTCAAATTTCGATAGGAAATCAATTCAGTAGGCAGTAATGAAATCTGAGTATAAATAGAAAAAAAGGTTTAACGTGTGTTTAAAAGAAGTTAAAACTACACTAAATGGATGTGTGCTTTTATGTCTAGTTCCGAAATGTATAGCACTCTCAAAGCAACATTTGGTAGATTCTACCCACAGCTATTATTGGTTTTGATTAGACTTTTCACACTTGGAATGAATTTTTGAATCGTTTTAAAACCTTTTTAATTTGCTGTAAATTTTATTGCTATAGGTGTTTTCTCTTATAAATAATTATTTGTATGTTCCACAACTTCAAGAATGTAAAAGTTTTTACTACGATAACCGATTTTCCCTTTATGATATCAAAACAAAACTTGCAGGTTCTGGGACAGAGCATATAATTCTCTATTTCGCCATATGTATATGTAGCCAATGGGGACATAACGATTGTTCAGAAAGCCATAAAATGAAGATGTTCAAAATCAATTTTTTCCGCTTTACACTTTACATTAATGAAATATTTATTTAGCGTTTTTGTTAATTTATAGAAACGTTTTTACACAAATAATATCCACACGGTATATATTAAAATTAGAAGAAATGAAAAACGTTTCCGTTAAATTTTTAGAATTCAAAAAAACAAATGAAAAGATTCAAAACACAATGTTGTCTGTTGGGTGTTCTTCTTTCACATTCAATTTCACAGCCTAATCAATAGTAAGATTCCCCAAACTTTTCTTTCAGGTTACGACCAAATTACGGTGAATTAAAATGAAAAAAAAATTAAACAAAATGTTATGGAGTAAGTCTTAGTGTGGAAATACATAAAGCGCATATTTGGCTGGCTTCTTCGTAGATGAACAAAGGAGTTTCAGGTTGACTTAGTTCGATTTTGGTCCTAGGCTCCTTTGTTCATTCCCGAAGAAGCCCGCCGATGACTTAAGCCAGCCAGATAAGCGCTTATTGTATTCCCACCTCTAGCGACTATTATATTTCCGCGCCCGGTAATGAATATTTGGCAGTTGTTGATCATTTTCGTACAGACCCTACACATATTTAATTCATACAATCCCAATCAATATCACCCGGAAGAAGTGGAGCAAAGTTGATGAAGCGAATGACTCGGGTTTTCCAATTCATCTGGCTACTTCATTGCCAAAAATGTTGCAATGACCTGGAACCCAACGGAGCTTAATAGACGAATACTAATCACTGTGTCATTTCGTACGAATGATTATGGGAAACACTGCAGGAACGAAACACTACAAAATTAATTAATCTGGATGCAGTGTCTCGAATGCATTTCTTTTTTTGATCTATAAAAAACAAGTAAAACAACATTAAGTTCGGCCGGGGAGAACTTTTAATACCTCCACCATTGGGTAAAGAAAACCATTTTTTATAAAAGTATCTGAATTCAAATTTGTTCCACTTTATACTAAAAAAACCAGTAAGACCGTTTGGATAATGCTGTTAAACTTAAAAAAAAAACCCTAAAGTGGGTGAGGCCGTTATATGAGGACTACACCAAAATGGGATATAAGCTTATATAGGTATATGTATATAAGCAATTTTATACTTCAAGGATTGTCATTCACCTAATCTTCTTAAATACCACATTTGAAACAATTTCGTGGGTAAATGTGATTAGGTGGGTATCGTTATATGTGCGCTATAGAAAAACGTGGATATAAATCTAAAAATGTTCTGCTACCGGAGCTAGAACACATTATGATCTACAAATGCCAATCTTTAGACAAATCCGTATAAAATGTGGCAAAAATCATCAAAATACTGAATATCGGGGGGTGGCGTTATAGGGGTGCTATACAAAAACGTGGACCTGCATATATAATGTTTCATCACCGGAGCTAGTATACATTATGACCTACAAATACCAATTTTTAGACAAATTCGTGGAAAAGTGTGGCAAAAATCATCAAAATACCGAATAAAGGGAGGTACCGTTACATGGCGGTTATACCAAAACGTGGACCGATATATCTCATTTTCAATATCTACCATCCTAGACACAATAATGGTTTTTTGTTAGATTGGCACCACACTGTGTCATAGTGCTCTTCACCGGAAAACGTAAATACCCTGAAT